AAAACCAGCGGCAGCGGGCGGAAAAGCAGGGCCATGGCGGCGGCCGGGGGGGGGGTGAGGGGGCGGGGGGGGGGGGGGTGAGGTGGGGAGCTGGGACCAAGTCTTCAGAAGATTTGGTGTTTAGAATATGTTATACTTAGACTGTAGTAAGCATCTGTGCAACTGCTCAGAAAACGTTTTAATTCATAGTCATTCAGCTAAATCTGACTGGTCACAAAGCTTCCTTACCTGCACTGATGAGCTCTGACTCAAGAAGTCCATGGGCTGACAAGGGGTGAGGCACTGCTAGATCTAGTCATGGCCAAAGGGGATGATCTAGTGATCAACCAGAGGATTGAAGGGAAGCTTGGTGACAGTGATCATGAGCTGATCACTTTCTCTATCCATTGCAAAGCTGGCAAATCAGGCAGCAATGCTGAAATCCTCAATTTTAGGAAAGCTGACTTTTACAAGTTCAGGAGGTTGATGTTGAGGCACTGAGAGATCATGATCTGGCAGGGAAGGGAGTCCAAGATGAGTGGTCACTCCTTAAAGATGCAATCCTAAAAGCACAAGGGAAATCCATTCCAGCCCATAGGAAAGGTAGTAAAAGGGCTGGGAAATGTCCTTGGCTCAACAGGGAACTCATGGACCTCCTGAATCGTAAAAGAGAAGCCTATAAGGGATGGAAGGTGCAAAATACCTCTAAGGAGAACTATGCATCACTGGCCCACACCTGTAGGGAGTGGACCAGAAAAGCCAAGGCTGAAACTGAGTTCAAACTGCCTATGGGAATCAAAGACAATAAAAAGTCCTTCTTCAGATATGTGGGAAGTAGAAAGAGAAATAAGGGCAACATTGGACCCCTACTGAACCAAAGGGAGCAGCTGACATCTGACACCCAGGAAAAAACTAATCTCCTTAATGATTACTTTATGTTGGTTTTTCACCATCCCAAGGGAAACACCCTGCCTGACAAGACATGGGATTACAAGGGCACAGGTGACCACACGCCTACATTTGGTGAAGACCGTGTGAGGGGACACCTTGAGAGGCTGAACATCTATAAGTCAGAGGGCCCTGATGAAATGTACCCAAGAGTGCTAAAATAGTTGACTGACATCATAGCGCGACCAATGGCAAGGATATTCGAGAACTCGTGGCACTTGGGAAAGATTCCTAAAGATTGGAAGAGGGCCAATGTGGTGCCTATCTTCCAGAAAGAAAGGAAGGAAGTAAGATCCAAGGAATGACAGGCCAATCGGTTTGACCACAATCCCTGGAAAGATCATGGAAAAAATATTAAAGAATCCATCAACCATAGGCTAACAGAAGCTGTCATCCTGAGAGACAGCCAACATGGCTTTGTTATGGGTAGGTCATGCTTGACCAACCTGATCTCCTTCTATGACCAGGCGGTACATCACCTGGACAGGGGAGGAGAAACTGATGTCATTTACTTGGATTTCAAACAAGGCTTTGATTTGGTCTCCTATGATCTCATGACAAAATTGGGGAACTGCAGCCTTGATAACCTTACAGTCTGATGGCTGGGGAACTGTCTCCGTGGTCGGACCCAGAGAGTGACAGTCGATGGACCCAAGTCAACATGGTGCATGGTGACCAGTGGCATCCCTCAGCATTTCAGTACTCAGACCATTACTCTTTAACATATTCATAAACAACCTGGATTCGGGTGTCAAAAGTGGACTGGCTAAATTTGCAGATGACACCAAATTATGAGGGAGCACAGTCACACTAGAGGATAGGCTGAGGATTCAGGCCAATTTGGACTGGCTCGTAAAGTGAGCATAACAAAACCTGATGACTTTCAGCACAGAGAAATGCAAAGTGCTCCACCTCAGGAGAAAGAACCCACGTCATACCTACAGGCTCGGCAGTGCTACACTATGCCTGACAGAGACCTGGGGGTCATGACTGACCACAAGATGAATATAAGCCACTCATGCAACGTCACAGCCGGTTAAGCAAATAAAACCTTAACTTGCATCTACCGATGCATCTCAAGCAAGACCCAAAATGTCATCCTCCTGCTTTATTCAGCTTTGGTGAGGCCACAGCTGGAGTACTGTGTCCAGTTCTGGGCTCCACACTTTAGGAAAGACATGGAGAAGCTTGAGAGAGTCCAGAGGAGAGCCACGTGCATGATCAGAGGTCAAGAGAGCAGGCCTTATGAGGAGAGGCTGAAAGGCACAGGACTCTTTGGCTTGGAAAAGCATAGGCTCAGGGGGGCCTATAAGTATATCAAGGGTGTGCATCAGGATCGGAAAGAACGTCTATTCACCAAGGCACCCCAAGGGAAGACAAGGTCCAATGGTCACAAACTCCTGCATGACCATTTTAGACTGGACATAAGGAAACCCTTCTTTACTGTCCAAGTCTACAGAGTCTGGAATAGACTCCCCGCCCCCTCAGAAGTGGTGCAAGCACCTACTCTGGACACGTTCAAGAAGTGTTTGGATGATTATCTTCCTGGGGTCATCTGACCCCAACTGACTTCCTGCCCTTGGGCAGGGAGCTGGACCCAATGATCTCACAAGGTCCCTTCCAGCCCTAATGTTTATGAAATCTATGAAATCTAAGCTTACCACAATCTAAATAAAATAAATCCTAAGAATAACTTACAACAAGGCCCTTAGTCACTGAATCTTGCACTGAAAAGTTATTAGGTAAAATGGATACAGAGGGGTGGGGTAGTTTCTTCCATATTGGAAACAAGGGTCAAAAGTAAAACTCAAGGCTTCTTCCCTTCTAGATCAGAATTAATCCAAGTCACATACCTTCCAACTTAATCTTTTTCTCCTAGTCAGACATAGCTCCTGCCCAGGGGCCAGATTCAAAATGATGCTGGAGACGCTGCTGGATGATACCCAACCTGTGCTCTAGTTATTAGAGCAGTGTGGTGGTGAGTGCTGGTTCAGAACCCTTCTGAGTGACAAGCCTAGAATCTGGATTTCATGATTCTTAGGAAAGCACCATAACCAACAGACCAAAATGTGGGTGCACCTTCCTCTTCATCTTTGCTAACCATGGGGTTTTGCCTGGCTACAAATTTGGGACCTACCTCAAACCTAGGTACTCATTTAAATGGCTACTAGGCCTGTGTGAATAGGGAGTATTCAATTCTGATATGGATTTGGCTGATTCAGAGGACAGTGATTCGATTTAGAGATTCAGATCAGTGTCCTGAATTGATTCAGCTGAATCAGCTGATACTTGGAGAGATTTAGAGATTCGGATCTGCTGAGGAGAGGCAGGCACAGCTGGGTGACTTCATGTTCTCCGGCGGCTCCCCCAGCTGTGCATGCCTCTCCCTGGGAGGGGGGAGCCATGGGAGAAGCCCTCATGGCTGCCTAGCCTGGCCCCATCCCCTGCCCAGCCAAAGCACTTAAAAAAAAAGCCCTGCACTCATCAGCTGCAGAAGCAGCGATTGGGGCCTCTGGGTGCTCGTGGCAGAGCTGGCCCATGCAGCGTCGGACAGTGGGGGGCAGTGAGGATTGTCCCCCCCTGCCTGGCACCTGCACAGCCCCATGGCACAAATGCAGCACGGCTCAGCAGGGCACCACATGCTGCCTAGGAGCTGGGGCCACTGGGAGTGAGTGCTGCTGGGCTCCAGCTTACATGTAGAGCCACCTCAGCTCACAGGCGAATCAAACCAGGAGCTGGGGAATCAAACCGGGGGCTGTGCCCTATTGCTGCTTGCCAAGCCAGCATGGGGGGGAAGTGGGGGCACAATGCAGGTGCAGCTCACTCCAGGCAGCAGCAGGGCATAGCCCCCACTTCCAGTGCTGCTGCATCTGCATCCTGCCCTCCCAGTAACATACGACCCCCATTACAGCTGGGGAGCTTGTTACAGCAGCCCCAGCCCTAATCCCTCCCCCATGCCTCTTCTCTCCCCCCACCCCAACAGACTTAGCAGCTGGAGGCAGCTGTCAGCTGCCTGTTTAGTCTATGGCCGAATCTCTGAATCGGCCGGAGCTTTTCTGAATTGATTCAGACATTTCAAATTGATTCAGAGCTTTTACTTGGTCTCCCGATTTGATTCAGATTCAGAGATTTGGTCCCCGAATCGGGCTGAATCTCCTCCGAATTGAATCAGCTACCAAAGCTTTGCACAGCCCTAATGGCTACCATACCTGTTCAGAAGCCATGTGGACACTTGTGTATATATAATATACATGGAATATGATCTCTAACTGCTTAAGTGCCAAAAATGAGTGTTATGCAGCTGGGTAAATGCCATTTAGGTGCACATAGTGAAATAAGATTCTGGATCTAGCATAAACATTCACTCCTAACATCTCAGGTTTAACTTGTGATTCTTTTTACTAAACCAGAGCACAGAAAAATAACAATTCTTCCCAGTTTAAATTGATTTCTCACCTGTGCTGATGTGCTGTTGAGTTTCTGTAAGCCATTCTCCAATCGTTCCATTTTAGCAGTCAATTCCTTGCCTTTTTTACATAGTAAATTTTGATACAATTTGATTTGTTCGAGGAATGATTTGGGTGTGGTGTAGTTATAGCGACGTTCATTGCTCAAATAAGATCTGGACATCTCATTCACACTTGTATGGACATACGCCATAAACTTGCTTATGGAATCTTTGACTGAAAGCTAAACACAAAAGAGAAGATATTTCAAATGAAGTATACACACACCACCCAAACTCAGTTTAACAGGATATACACTGATATCTAGTTTCCATAAAGACATTAAAAGAAAGCCAGACTTGGAGCAATGACGTCATGTCTCATTTCTGCTTATGAAGCCAAGACTGAAAGAGGTCATATATGAATGATGAACAGATGAGATCAGGCTGAGTGCACAATTGCACCAAGTTCCATCTCTCCCTCTTGCTGAAAGAGGGGTTGCTTGGCGAAAGACTGTAAGCTGAAAAGTTGGGCTATGTGAAGACCCTCACCTCAATATTCTGTGTTTCTTGCAGGAAGCGCATGCTGACAGATTCTAATGCCTCTTGAGGCCACTCATGGAACCAGTCTATTGCTGTGCAGTTCACAATGGCTGGGAACTTCCTGCTGCGGATTCTCAGCTTGTTACCAACAGGTGAGAAACAAAGTGCAACCTAAGGAACAAGAGGGACAACAGTGCTGAGAAAGAGAGGACACTAGGTGTGAAGACTAATGGCACAGTTGGAGATTTGGGGATTTCTTGCTGGAAGGATGATTTTCTAGGAGAATTTCAGAATAAAATCAGAAACTGAATCCATCATAATCTCTGGAGCTTTGGGCCACTAATTCTGAGTCTGCACACACAAATCTCATATAAACAGATAAGCTAACAATGGACGGAGACAGAAATGACATGTTCCATAGTCACTATGAATCACCATGAGTTAGACCCAGGAGCTGCACTTCTGTCTGTGTCCAGTAAGCATTCTTTTCCCTCTAAAATAAAAACATACAGCATTGCCTTGGCCAAAAATTGGCCAGAAACAGAACCATGATGGAGCAAACTGCATTATTATTGAATTTGCAGTGTTTTTCTACAGGTGTGTCTACACATATATTTTAGGGCTGTGCGAAATTTCACCAGGTGTTTCATTTCAAGGCTGTTTCAACTCATTTCAAGCTCAAAACAGCAAAATCAAAATGAAACAAAAGGTTTTGAAACAGCCTTGAAATGAAACGAGCACACTCAAAACATTACAAAATGTTTTGAGTTTCAAAGCTGGCTTACTTTTAGGGAAATAGAAACTAAGTGGGGGGGGGGGAGGAAGGACTGCTCTGATACTGACATGTGTAGCTGGCCAGTGATTGTGATCCTTCCCTGAGGTCCCTTCCAATCCCACTGCTATGGGGGAGGAATGGAAAAACAGCATAAAAGGCAGCATTTAAACTGAGCTTTCCCTGTGCCTGGGGGCCATTTACTGAGCTATGTCTTCCAGCAGCTCAGCAGCATCAGAGAAAGGCTATCACTTCCTACTTGCTATCCTGTTACTAGCAAGTGAGATCCAATAACTTTTGCTTTTGTAATATCCTTTTATTATTATATTCATTCCTTTCAATTGATTCCTCCCATAGAATTCTCTTTTTGTTTTTGTTAGTCTATTTTGATTCTTTTCCTCAAGAAAAGAAATCTGTACATTCTCTCACAGTGTGCATTCCATTCACTGTGCAGCAAAGCAGATCATATACTGCATGTTATAATATAGAATTTATTCAGGAACACATAGATACATTTATATATTTTATTTATTACATAAATATATACATACAATTATCTACATACATTACATAAATACAGATTAAGTTACAGAAGAACACACAGATTTTCCAGTACACCAAGGCAAACACGCTATGAAACACACTATGAAGCATGCTAGAAAGGCAACTGGCAAGCCTTCAGGGAGGCGTGGAAAAGCGGGTAGAGGAAGAGCTATAAGTTCCCCCCACCCCCAACTGAGACAGAGCCTCTTTCCTACAACTAGCATGCATGAGGCTTCCAGTTCTACTAGGAGCAAGGAGAGGGGAGCAGTGTCACTGCCTGGGTCTGCATCCCCTCTAAGAGCACCAGCCATAACCACCACGACCATGACAACAAGCAACACACCAGCATGACAGTCTCCTCCATGCCCATTTCACTTCCCAGCCTGAGCCTTCCAGTGCCAGAGGAAGAGCTGGAGCTGAGTGCCATAACAAGGGAAATTCTGCGTAGTTGTTGTTTGGTGTCTCCTACATATTTCCCATCAGGGCACTTGGTGCTCTGATGGAGATATGTATTGTATTGTGAAGCTATATCCATACTGGCCAGATATCTCTCCACTCTTACCTGCTACATCCCTTCCCACCCCATCCCTGCCCCCAGCCTCTCTCACCCCCTGACACCTACATTTCCATTTCACTGACTGGCTTTCTTGCCTGCATTGCATGCCAGCCTCTGGCTTCTTTACTATTCCTTCCATCCAGGAAGAGCACACACACCAACTACAGGTGCCTGAAGAAGGTTTTTTAAACCTGAAAGCCTGCTAAGATATATTTCTCCAACTATTCAGTTGTAACTGAGCTCAGTGACAAGGATGTGAATGATGAGTATCACATTACCTTTAGTTGTCGTCGAACCCGATTTATGAAGAATTTCCAGCATGTTTCTTTGGTGTCCATTAGTCCCTGGTTCTTGACTTCATTTCTCACACTGCTGATGATGTTTTCAACTTCATCGTCAGGGAAGAGATCAGGAATTTCACCTAGTAATAAGGGGAATGGATTGTTTTGGCAAACTTACAAGCAAAATGAAATATTTTCTTCATTTATTTGTGCATGGAGCAGAGCCTTTTTATAGAACAAGTCTCTGGATTGCACTACAAAGATGCAAATGAATATGCTTGATCAGATAGGTGAGGCTATTTCTGCAGCTCTCTAAAATGTTATCTCCAGCTGTATTCAAATAAGTGGCAGATCACAATGTTTAAAAAGCTAATGGCACATGCAGTTAATGGCTAATAACATATCTATTCAAATAGAATTTTAGTGACTATTTACAGCTTCCTAATTTGTTTTGTTCTGACCTCTGTCTAAACTAAAATGATTGATGAATTCTGATCTTTATTTGATAGTAACAGTTTAGGAAAATAACAGTAGCTGATCAGAAACCAGCTTATTAAGAAGAAATTCAGAAAACAAGCAATTTTATTCCTATGCATTCAGTGCTGAAAATAAATGGAAAAAAAAATGGAAAAAGAAAATGTATCTAAAACAAGCAGCAGGAGCCAGTACTTCTACTTATCTAATGAACCATCTCCTTGCACCATAGAAGAGAAAGTGTGTAGGAAATCTGCCTCTGTGTTTAGCCCACCTCCAACCAGCTTGCCCCTACCTTCCACTAATCTATAGAAAAAAGAAAGAAAGTGCACATTTAACTAGCAGAGAGAGTGACCAGGAAAGCCCTAGCCTTTCTTCCTCCTTTTATGGAAGCTCCAGTGCTAACTGCAGTTTCCACCTCTTCCTTCATTGGCTCCCCAACATCAAGCAACAAAGGGTTGAAAGGGGGAATGGTAAAGGAAAAAAGAAGCCTCTTCCCCTTTCCCACTACAACCACATACAAGGCAGATAGAGAGAGAAACCAGATTGCCTGGGCTGGGGCAGATCCAGGAATGGGGGAGGAGAGGAAGGGAGAGTACATTGATGCAGTTGCACCCTTCTTTGCTTCCTGTTCCACAAAAACTTGAAAACCAACTGCCTGGGAGGCACAGGGGCATTTCTACTCAGGCCGTGCTGACAGAATCAATATATTTCATGGCTCATTACCATTTCCCTGATTCCTGTTAATATTTCTCTACTTCACAGGTGGTAATGGCCCTCTATCACAGGGTTAGGCAACCCTCAACATGCATGCCAGAGCGTGGCATGCAAAGGCATTAATAATAATTCCATAAAAAGAATCATAGGACTCAAAGGCCCTGTCTACAGCTCCACTCACATCCACAGTGATCAACTGCTATTGATTTGTTATCAGAAATATCACAATGAACCTCAGACCAGATCCACAAAAGCAAATAAGCAGTACTCTAGTGACTGAAAACAGGAAATTTATGAGAAGATACTTAGACCTTCTCCCTACTAGCAGATGCTTACAATGCATTAAATGGTACATATGGTGTCCATGCTACCCTCCAGGAGGGAGTGCACCTGAGAGAACTACAAGGAGATCACAAGTTGTAGCAAAACCCCTGTTTTTCTTTTTTTTATTTATTTTAAAATGTATTCCCCTCCCCTTCCACAACCATTTCTGACTTTTTCTCTCCCTCTCTATTCCCTATAGATAAGTATAAGTGAGCTCAGACTTAGGATAAGCTTTAACATATTTTTATTTTGGTAGCAAGTTTTTGGTTGTGGATATCCAATGTTTTATATTGTATAATTATTAGGTTTGTACTGATTCTTACTGTTGTATATTGTATTATTATCATTTTCGTATTGATTTTTATTGTTTCATATGGATATTGTATGGTTAAGGCCTGTGTTTGTAAGTGAACCAAAGTCCTGTCAAGTTTCCAGTTTATATGTCAAGCCTCCATCTTGTGTCCTCTGCCCAGGCATCCCATGTTGCAACTGTATGAGTCACGTAACCCTCCCATGTAAATTGGTTCCCGGATGAATGAGAATGATTGGGAATGATTGAAATACAATGGTAGCAGGCCTCTACTGGATGGCCTGTAATGACTGGGCCATCACCTCACATTGATTCATCCAGGAACCACGGACCTCACCCAGGAACAGAGACAAGAACCCAGCATTTGAAAGACAAAAGACCCTGCAGAACCAGCAACTCTACCATTGTACCATTACAGACACCTGAAACTGCACATCCCTGCATGGAGCACACATGCTCAGTACGCCAGAGACTGACCCTTGCTTGCACATGCCTCCTGTCACTAGGGTCACACAAGGTCTGCCCTAATAAAAAGAGGAAGTGAAGACAGACCCAGTAGGATGCCATCTCCATCTGGACCAGCACCATGCCATGCCACCTATCCACCAAGAGGCCCTGCCGGCGACTCCCCCCTGGACAACACCTACTGGACAAAGACCCCTTTCCAGCCTGGATAGGTAGATATTACCTGCACACCTCCTCCTACAATTTGGACTCTCTCTCTCTCTGTCTCTCTCTCTCCTCCTGGACTTCAGTGGACTTCAGCCCCTGCACCAAGCCTCTCTAACCCCTACTGCCATTGTGTATTTGTGGGTGTGTGTGTGGGTGGGTGGGTACAAGGGAACCAATTTGGCATTGTGTCACCATCTCCCCAGTTCAATAAAACCTCTGTCATTTGCAACCCTGAGTTGGGTCATGTTTTACTGAATCCCAGTCCCTTCCTTATCTTAAATTCCAGCCATTTTTTCTCTCCATCTCAGCTCCAGCCCCCACCCCTCTCCACTAGTTTCCCAATCTCTTCTCAATTCC